TTTGCCTTTGTGACTCATCCTATCCTTCTCGCTAGTCCTTCGCACCCGTCTTTCCCTTTGACTCACAGCCAACAACCCTTCTTACTTAACACTCACCCCTCGCTCTCTCTTATTCATCAACCCTTCCTACTTAACACTCACTCTTCTCTCTCTCTCATTCATCAACCCTTCTTACTTAACACTCACTCTTTTCTCTCTCGTATTCATCAACCCTTCTTACTTAACACTCACCCCCCTCTCTCTCATATTCATCAATCCTTTTTCCTTATCACTCACTCCTCTCTCTCTCCTGTTCTGCTGCAGCTATTGTTCTGTTAGACGAGGCCACCTCCGCTCTCGACACAGAGACAGAGCGCAACATTCAGAAGTCTCTCAACGCCATCTGCCGTGACCGCACGTCTGTAGTAGTGGCCCATCGACTGAGTACTATTACCAAGGCTGACCAGATACTTGTGCTTAGCGATGGGCAGATCACAGAGAGAGGCACACACGCCGAGCTGCTGCAACGGCAGGTGGGTTGGAAGGGCGAGTGTACCGGCTGTCTGGTGCATGCATTTGGGTTATACTCGGATATGTTGTCACGCTCGATTATTCATGTTTGTTCAACATGTGTATATTGTGATGTACTTTGACGTGTTGTCACTCTCGAATATTGACCTCGTTTCCTGAACATCTGTGTATTGTCATGTACTCTTGACCTACTCTCAATTTTTGACCACTTTTATTGGACTTGTGCGGCGTGCAGGGGATTTACTGTGACATGTGGATGCGCCAACTCGAAGCGGCGGAGGAGGAAGCCGAGACGAAGGGAACCGCACAGTCTGACCACAAAGATTAAGTTACGCTGAGGTACAGGACTTAAAACACACACACATAGTATAAGTCATTCAGTGTGAGAAGATACAAGACACATACCCGCACACATTTTACGGATCATGTGGTAAGTTTATATACAGGGCTCGGACACACCCATATTATGTAGGTATATTGCAGCCCACAGTCAAGATCACTAACTCTTAATCGGTGTAACACGCTACGGACGATCCACCAGCTATGACAGTGGGCAATGTTCACATACGTTGTGGTGCCGATAAGACATTGGTACACATTCAACGAGTACATGGTAGAGCTTGTGTCGGTTGTTTGTGAGCAAACGGGTACTGAAGTCACTTTAAGACATGGGCAAACTGACACACATGTAGATATGTGGGCAGACGGACACATACATCAGGCCACAGGCAAACTGGAGGGCACAGGCGAAAAGACGGGTACTGCGGTATATAGGCAAATAGACCCACAAAGCTGTGTATAGGCGAATAGGCCTATATATCAGTATATAGGCAAATTAAAGTATACTTCAGGGCGTAGGTGAACTGGAGTACAGGCGAATTGTCATACACTATAATTCACAAATAATAATTGGTGTTGTTCGCTAATTATGTAGTATATATTTTATATATATATATATATATATATATATATATACATGTAATATATATATATATATATGTATATATATATATATGTATGTATGCATATATGTATGTATATATATATATATATGTAGTCTGAGACAAACACAACAGCTATGCGATGCACTGTGTATATGCACAATGATTACAATACCGTGCTTTGATCACACGTGTGTGAGACGGCAGACAACCTGATACATATCCACACACACAACACATACACACATACACGCACATTCTCTCTCACTTAATGACATCACGTATAGCTTACGATCGCATTAACTACAATGTGCTCTACGACGTGATAGGGGCAGCGGGGTCTCCAGACTGAGCAGTTTATGGCTAGGCTGTGGTCTCAGTACCTTTCAGAGCACTGATGGAAGGGTGTGGATGTCTCTGAGAGATGTGGGTGGAACTAGTTGAGGCGGTAGACTGTTGGCGAACAATGAACGCAATAAAGTGAAAACGTTTCGATGATAGGTGTCGAGGCTGGTAAAACCCTAAAACCATATCACTGAACGTTGTCAAATCACAGGATAACGTTACGTATTGCAGTTATATTGTGCCTGAATGTTTATATCGTAGTTGTAGAAATAGGAATGCATATGCAATTGAAACCTATTGCTAAATATGATGTTGGTGTCCTGTAGATCCAGATTGTATAGCTGTAGTCTTACGCGTTTACCGTTTGTTTATGGTCATTGGTCTATGAAACTTCCGAATATAAATATATATACCTGAATGTGGTAGGTATATATAGCTTATGATTGTAAATATATATATATATCTGAATGTGATAGGTATATCTAACTTATGAATATAAATATATATACCTGAATGTGGTAGGTACATGTAACTTATGAATATAAATATTTATACCTGAATGTGGTAGGTATATGTAGCTTATGAATATAAATATAAATACCTGAATGTGGTAGGTATATGTAGCTTATGAATATAAATATTTATACCTGAATGTGGTAGGTATATATAACTTATGAATATTAATATTTATACCTGAATGTGGTAGGTATATGTAACTTATGAATGTAAATATTTATACCTGAATGTGGTAGGTATATGTAGCTTACGAATATAAATATATATACCTGAATGTGGTAGGTATATGTAACTTATGAATATAAATATTTATACCTGAATGTGGTAGGTATATGTAATTTATGAATATAAACATTTATACCTGAATGTGGTAGGTATATATAGCTTACGAATATAAATATATATACCTGAATGTGGTAGGTATATGTAAATTATGAATATAAATATTTATACCTGAATGTGGTAGGTATATGTAAATTATGAATATAAACATTTATACCTGAATGTGGTAGGTATGTATATATACCTGAATGCGGTAGGTATATGTATATACCAATCTCATGGATATGAGATGTCATACACATCATACCGACAACATGTTTGTCCACACACACCCAAATCCCATGGCCATGGCCATATCGGTCGCCGTAGAGTTTGTGTCTATTCTTAGAATGCTTCGAAACCCTAAAACCCTAAATTCCAAGGCCCCAATCTTCACTATTTAAACCAAATTCTGATAGCTCAAATTTAGGATACATCCGGGGCATTCATTTGTCCACCTTTTGCATGTACTTCTGGCCACCATATCAAGCGAAGACAATAAGTATGTGTCAGTGCAAGTGCTAAGAATCTCAATCCGCACGTCGCCAGTCTTATTTATTCAGGTTGGTACATACAGCCACTACTAAGCCATTGCTTGCAACCAAAAATTCATACACCACAGCCCCACTGTGTGATTTTGGACACTTAGCACTTGATCGTCGCACTTTCAATTGCAACACAAAGCAGATGTGTACTGGAATGTTCCTTTTTTGGGAGGCTATGTGGAATTCCAAGCAATTGAACCCTACAACCCTAAAACCCCAAAAACTGTGGAACCACCTCGAACTTCGACAGTATATACCAAGTCATTCAACAGGAGCTATGCACTTATGCTGAAGCTATAGTCAATCTATAGTAAGCATAGACATTCGAACCGAAAGACCAGGCGTCGAGACAAGCTTCTCCACATACAAGTAACATGTGGTGGTGTCATGTATCCGTGTCACTTGGTGCGACAGGTGAGGTGAGTTTGGCGTTGGTTTAATTCCCACTCTTTCAAATGGGCGGCAGTTGTTCGTGCTGCTGATATGGGCCTGCAACTACCGTCGGTGGATGCCAACTGAACTCCCCTCAGTGGCTGCCAACGAAGTGCCGTAGCACAGACCCGATGTAATCTATTTATATCCCTCGCCAGGGAATCAACCCCTTCTTCTGCGATCAATCCTACAACGCCCTGATCATTGGCTCTGCCACCGCATATACCACACCCAAAACCCTAAAACCCTAAAACCACCCGTGTCTGGTAGATATTGAGGACTGGAATGGGCCCAACGTACTCAATCGGTCGCACAACAGGTTGAGTATCTGTTTGGCAACCACACCATGGCGCTACATAGCAACCACCAGTTCTAGTACGCAAACTGTACTGCTACGGTCGTTGCTTTATACCCCTTTTGAACGGCACAACGCTCAATCCCAGGACTTTCACTTGAGTTGGGGAGATGTTTTGCTGAAATGGAGGTCCGCACTCACCTGGAAGACACTTGGACGTTTATACACATGCGTTCGTGTGATTCTCTATATGCACATGTACATGTTCCTGTTGATATACAAATACCTATACATTTATATACAAATACACACACAAACACACACACACACATATATATATATATATATATATTTATATATATATATATGTGTGTGTGTATAGGTGCATATAGTATATATATATATATATATTATATATATATATATATATATATATATATATATATATATATATATATATATATATATATATATATATATATATATATATATATATATATATACGTATTATATAT